ATCGATATAAAATATTTACTCACGTATTTGTTTAAATCCGTATTCTTCATCCAAAAAATTTGTGTAATTATGCAAAGAAAGTCCAGTAATTTTTTTATTTGAAATCAAGGTATCCAAATCAAGCATAATTTCTTTGACATTACGGCTTGATAAATCATTATTAGGATTAACCTGTAATCTTAATAGGAGCTGAGGCTGTTTGCTTGAATAGTCGTATCCCACGCGATTGTCGATCTCGATTCGATTCGAATTAATTGGAATTACTTGTGCTATATCTTCTTTAAGGTAATTTAAGAAATCACGTTTTTCGCTCGATGAGAGATTGAGATATTGATTAGTTCCTTCGAGATTTAGACGAAGCAATCCTATAGCTGATGCTTTAATTTTTAAACTTTAGTTAGAATTTCGTTTGCTTATTATATATATATTGCCCAAATAAACTTACCAGCATATGCTTCAATACTTTGTGCTAATTTATGTTTAAAGATATAAATTTGTGACTTAATAAAATCTATTTTCAGAAAATTTCAAAGTGATTATATGTATAATGGCTTACTTAAATTGAATTTCCAAACATACGCCTCAATTCCCGTTAATGCTTCATTGTATTTACGAGTCTTGATAAAATCGCTATCCACAACGACATAATATGAGGCCCCGGGTTGATTAAATGTACTGCGCAAAATTTTAACTCCTATTGTATAATCATCAATAGAATAGCAAAAAATAGATTGGCCCGAAGTTGTTTGTCGAAGAATTGAATTATTTCCATAAATCTGATAAATTGCGACGCTACGAGTTGATAAATTAATTTTTTGAGTATATGTAACGGTTATATCAGTTGTGTCGGTCGGAATAATGGCGTTGATATTAGGATTCGTTGAAGCAATATTTGGATTTTGATATCCATTATCTAAATTATTATATAAAATTTTAGTTTCCCAATAAATTCCAAAGGCGAAGTAAGTGTTACATGTACCTGGGGGCATAAATTTTGTAACATTAGTTGATAAAATAACATAATCGCCTTGCTCATTTTGACTTGAGATCAAATAAACTTTATTATTATATAGAACCATTGGTTGCGTTGTCATAGTAACATTAACTGGGAAAGCCCATGTGCCACTATATTTTCCATCGTTATCATAGACTTTTGCTGAATGAATTTTCCCGCTACTTTTATTGAATTCATATTCATATAAAATAAATCCACCGTATCGTAATGCTAAAAGATCCGTTATTAAGCTCGAACTAATAATGTCAGTAAGTCTATCGATTTTTATTAGTGATCCGGTTGAAAGAAATGTTATTTTGAGATAAATCCCTTGAGATGTTTGATTGTCCATTTTCATCATATTCAAAATACATTGATATCCTTGTCCATCAAAAGCTGCATTGCATGGACGAATAATTATATTATCTAAATCAGCTATAGTCTGATATAGTATGTATGGATCTGTGAATTCTTTGGCATCTGGCCGTAGAAATCTTACAGATACTTCCCATTTAGGTTCAACAAGTGATCGCATACTCGTAAGATTTTGACCTTCCACAACTTTCGAACTTGCTATCAAACCAAACCTAATAATATAACTTTAATTTTAGACAAGAATTTTAAATAAAATATTAATTAATTTTAATGGTTACCCTCCATCCACCATTGGAAATATGTAGCCACTGATGTAATTGCTAGTGAAATTACCATAGGAAATGCGGTTTATTTCGCCTCGAGAATTTCTTAATTAAAAAACATGTAAATTATATATACAACTTCCCACTCAATCCTAATATAATTTTGATAACTTACG